CCACCTATACCTCACAGGACCATCCTCCCTTGCATATATAGCTGGAGCCATAAGTCCCTCTCTAAGTGCTCCCAGGCTGGTGGTTTAGACCCTGGGGGCTCTGGTTGGTTGGTATTGTTGCTCTCCTCATGGGGTCACAAATCCTTTCAACTCCTTCAGTCTTCACTCTAACTCCTCCATTGGGAACCCCATGATCAGTTCAATGGTTAGCTGTGAGCATCTGCCTCTGAATATATCAGACTCTTGAAGACCCCTAAGGAGACAGCTATGTCAGGCTCCTGTCAGCATACACTTCCTGGCATCAGCATCTACCTTTGGTGACTATACATAGGATGGATACCCAGGTGGAATGGTCTCCAGATGACCCCTCCTTCAGTTTCTGTTTGTAGGAGAGGTTACAAGGATGGAGGCTAGATATGGAAGGACTGGAAAATAAATAGGATTGGGGTGCATGATGTGAAAGTCACAAAAAAAACAACATAAAATTATGTTTTAAAACAAAATCTCTTTTCCTTAGTTGTTGGGTGACCACAAAGGTAGGACATCAAGTCAAGCTCCAAGTATGAGTGTTTCCGAGGTTACAGGACCAACAACTGTATGCTCTTTGGGACAAAGTACCAGAAAAGTTCATGGATTCAAAACCACCAGCACACAGTCTCTTGGGTTTTCTATGACATACTAATTAGTAAGCCATATTTTCTTTCTTTGTGTGGCAGATGGTGTTAGAGGCAGTTTACAAGACTTCTGCCTCCCAGAAAGATTTGATTCAGCTTGATTGACTTCATGAATGCATTATCAGGGGACAAAATGAAGACAAAATGATATTATGACTAGACTTTCCAGTTGGTGATCATGAAGTAATCAAATTATTCTAACCAATCGTGTAATGTTCCTGCACAGTCATGGAGTGTTCCACAGTAGACTAGCCAGGCTAACCATCCTAGAGGAACAACCAACCCAGGCTGTTTAATGGGATTTGAGTTGAATTTTACTAACAATATTAGAATTACAATGAAAATTACAAAATAATGGAATAGTACACTGATTGAGTTCAGTAATCCTTTTCAGGTAATTTTAACTAGAAAGTGAATTTGTGTTTCTATTAGTAAAGAAAAATAAGTATTTACATTTTTAATATTATATATTCAGAACACTAGCAATTTAACTTTTATATTTCTCTAACTGCAATAGCTCATATGTAAAGGAATTGATTTTATTCACAAATTAATCTCCACAATAGATAGATGGGCAGCTTTCTTTCAAATGATCCCTCAAGGATCCAGGAGCTTTTCTTAGGAAGGCTGCCTAGCCTCCAGTGTGGAGCTTACTTGTGGCAACACAAAAAGGTGCCAATCATAAGTATGCTGCCTGTACAGTTGACTTTAGAGAATGGAAGGCCATAATGCACACTAAAGGGAAAGTGAAGGTGCACTAAGATGACAGCATCTCAATGTATGGGGAATTTAGTTGGCCATGCTCTAAGGTAATGTGTCACTCCTGCTTGCTTCCAAATACATCATAGGGTCATGCCAGACTACAAAGTAAATTGAAAGGTATGAATTAGACGTATAGAGAAAGATATCGATTTAATCAAAGCTAGTCAACTTGTCTTTGATGCTCTGATTTTGATGCCCATGGTTACCATGCTTCTTAGTCTATCTACCTAAAAATCTCATTCTTTTAATGAGACAACACTCCCTCTTTTCATGAAACTGATACTCAACTGGAGGAAATGATGGTACATAAGTAAGCGGATTAGTAGGTGAAGTCTGTTATAATGTTGAATTGACTATTCCGTGAAGTAAGAAATGAGTCAAGAAATTAGTACTTTCAGATAGAACAGTCAAGGAGAGAGAGCTTTGCCACAACTTGAAACAGACCCCTGAACCAAGACTGAGAGCTGTAGGAGAAGAGCTTCCCAAGTGTAACATATGAAATATGACTACTGTGGCCTATTTTGTTATATGTTCAAGTTATTTTCCACATAAAATCATGCTCTATTGTTTTAGTTTTTATTTTTAAGAATAGCATACAGAGTATACTCTATTTACCTTATTTTAAACCCTCTCTCTTACCCCTCCAATTCCTCCCATGCAACTTCTTTATAGTAACAATTCATTTATAAATGATTTTAAAATTCATAGTTGAAATTTTCTATACTATTGATTTTCGTTGGGGACACAAAATAATCCTATTCTTTAATTTATATTTATATTCAATTAATTTAAAAAGGTGCATTTTATCTGGACTTCAAAAGAAGAAATTAGCATCTAAACTTCCTTTCTTTTGTAAGTATTATGTATAAGATATGCAACTGAACATAGTTCATACAAATGAGGCAATGCTTGGCTCACTGGACTGTTGGAATCCTGACTCAGAGGCTTCCCCATCTTCGGGATTCTCTCCATTCTTATCTCCATATTGGCCTCCTCTCTCTGCTTCAAGTGTCTTCCTATCAGTTGAGAGAGAGTAGCATGGCTTACACTATCATTTATTGGGCTGTTTCAGTTTTCAGCTTATGTGATCCTACTGACACGATCATAAAAGAACTGACAGACTTCGTATTTCCTTGAACATAATAAAAGAAAGTGTTCTGGCTCAGCTCACAGAGGTCCATACCTAGTTACTGTACTAATGTCTAGGCTGAGTGATCAGTTGGAGTGGCTGAGAACTATACTCCCAAAAGAAAGGAAAGAGTGTTAACAGAACAAAGGGAAAGTATTGGGGAGGTGGAAATAACAGCTGTCAATTCCAACATTATTACAAATGCTGTCACAGAGAGAAATATTGAGTATTGATTACTCTTCCCTTTGGAGCAGTAGAACAAGGTGGAGACGTGAACACTTACCATGGCTCCACGCATCATCAGGTGTATGGATTTGAGCACATCGGTAAACTTCTTTAAGCTTAATCCATTTAACTATTAAATTTGGGTTTCTAGTCTGTGGCATATGATGTCTGGTTGGGTCCTTGTCTCTCACATTGCAAAGTAACTCCATTTCAAGTCCTTTTATATATTTTAAGAAGTTGTAGAATAGTAGGTTTCCATATGACTTTCAAAGGGTCCTTACGACTTTTTTTTTCCATATGACTTTCCTGCTTTACCCTGCCCTCCTATTCTTTCCCTCCCATTTCTTTCTCTATCAAACCCTACTGTTCTGGTTTTCTTTTTTTCTCTTTGTACACTATATTCAATTTTGACTTTCTCAGAATAGTTCTTCTTCCTCCCTTATCTTTTATGAGCTGTATAACATCTGTGTATCACAAGACATCTATTTCTATAGAAAGGCAAAATTCAAAGACATGAATTCTAAAGTTTCTTTTTTGTACATGAGTCTCAGTTTCAAGACATGAGATGCCACCTGCCTCACAGAATCGCACAGGTGACTAAATGGCACACAGTACATAGAATTCTTTTACAAATTATAATAAATGGTTAAATGAATAGCAAGTGTATTATTGATGATGGTAAAATGTGTGTGTGTGAGCACACATGCATATGCATATACACATATATATACGATGAACACAGTGAACAGCTGGCTGAGGACAGAAGGAGACAAGTAACATATCAAAATTCTGCATCTGCCCTGACACTGCATATACGAACCCAAATACTCAATTATGCTGGTCTAAGAGGAAAAGTTCCACTCTAGTATTATCACTCAAATTTAACTAAACTGAAGCTAATTTTTAAAATGTACAAGTTCAAAAGCAATTTATAGCATATGTTAAAATATCTATTTCAACAGGTGAACTTTGCCCATTTGCAAATGAAGAAATTAACACCAATAAATTGCTTTGGATACAGTATTATCACTTGGGTGCTATGTTAATTTACTGCACTAATTAACTCACTGCCTCACACCAAATCAACATGGCCTCTCTAGGATGAGCTCATATTAACAAGGACTACACATAACCTGTCTTAGCTCTTTGATTAGTGCTTCTTGATATGCAGACAGAGATTTCCAAGTGGGTGTCTAAGACTCAGACATCTCCATTGTGCGCATCACTATGACAGTGCGTACAGCCCTACTTTCTTCCATTTTAACATTTTTAATTCACGTTTCATCAGTACTGTTTGGAATATACATTTCCCCTCTAATTTTTATGAATGTGAGAAACAAATGCATATTTACTATAATGCACAGGTCAGGGATGGGACACTAGAAGAAACAGTGTTATTGAATCGGAAGCTGAGGCATACTTTAAATTGACCTACAGAAAACCAAAGGAACTCACTATGGGATGTTGCCCCTCTTTTTTATGAATCACAGTCTCTGCTCTCTACCTCTCATCTTTGCTGTCCCTCCAGTTTCTCTGTCTCTGTGTCCTTCTCATTCTCATGTATTTGAGTGTAATTCAGAATACTCAATCCACTTGAACTTCTCTGTGACCATTCGTCACAAGTAGTGTGATAAGCTGATTGTAAAATACTAGTTTTTAAATTCTTGTTCTAAACTAAGATATAAAAACAAGAAAAAATAAGAAAATGCAAGTGAGGGACTGGAGAGATGGCCCAGTGGTTAATAGCATTGACTGCTCTTCCAGAGGTCCTGAGTTCAGTCCTCAGCAATCACATGGTGGCTCACAACCATCTGTAATGAGATCTGATGCCCTCTTTGGTGTGTCTGAAGACAGCGACAGTGTATTCACATACATGAAATAAATAAATCGAGAAATAATTAAAAGAAAATACCAGTGATAAATCTCAAGAACAAAAACAAAGAAAAAATAAGAAAAATAAAATATTACCCGTATAAAAGTAAAATTGAAAGCAATACCCATACATAGATGTACACAGGGAAACATTGTGACTATAGAATATCAACCAAAGAAAAGCAAGCTAGAGAAAATAGCAAAATCAAAGTAAAATGATATTTAAAACATATTCATGTCACCTATGTTGGGGATTCAAGCATACTATTGAGAATAAGTGAGCTATAACAGCTATAAACATGAAATCATATGGTAAGAAAGACAGGTAGCAAGAAAATACAAGACTGTTATCATTTATAAAAGTTACAGTCATCCTTGTGCAAGGGCCATGCTAATCTTCTCTGTATCATTTATTTTAGTATATGTGCTACCAAAGAGAGCTAGAGCCCCTTCACATTTGTAGCAGATGTACAGCTTGGTCTTCATGTGGGTCCCCTAACAATTAAGAGCTGGGAATGTCTTTGACTCTGTTGCCTGCCATTGAATCTCCTTCCCCTAGCTGAACTGCCTGGTTGGGCCTCAATTGGAAACGAGGTACATAGTCCTATGGCTACTTGATGTCTCAGAGCAGGGTGGTACCCATGGAGGGTTTCCCTTTCTCTGATGAGAAGGGGTAGGGGTAGTAGGGGACTTTTAGGGTTGGGACAGTGAGGAGGCAGGGGCTGTGATCTGGATGTAATGTAAATAAATCTATTAATGAAAAAAGTTAGAGTCTGTCTTATAAATAAAAAATTTTAAGAAAATCATCAAGATTTGGGATGAAAACAACCATAATTAACAACGTGAAAATCTTACAAACTACCAAAGTCTATATCAATAGTAATGAAAACCCATAACAAATGAGAGAAGATTCTAGAAATTAAGGCTAACACATACACATTATACCACAATAAAAGATCTATGCTACACGGGTATTCAAGGAGAGCCAAAGCTCCATAGGGAGTTTAAAGCCAGCCTCAGCTCTACACTAGGAGTCCAAAGCCAGTCCATTCTATCTAAAAGAAAAGTCAAAAAGTTAAAGTAGATAATAAACACAGGAAAGCTACGAATATCTGATACAAATTACAGAGGATTTGCATACATACAACAAAAGTTAGAAAAATAAAGGAAAGCATACAAACCAACATCATAAAATAAGAAGTCTAAAATAACCTTTCAGAGTCCAAGATATGTAAAATGAACAGTCTTCAAAAAATCAAGATAACTTAATAAGAGCAGGCCTCCCAGGGGCATGGAGGAGGTGGATGTGGGAGAGAGGGAAGGTGGGGGTGTGGGGAGCCTGGGGGAAGGAAAGAGGTGAAACTGTAGTATATGAGAGAAGAATTTTTTTACTTCATAAGAGCTGGCAGATGGGAATGTCTGCCAGGAAATGCCTGTACTGCACGTGACATGGATATTATACCTATGAACTCATTTCAGCTGTGGTCACCTGCATAAAAGCTTGCACAAATAAATAAAAAAAAAATTTAAAAACACAGCCAAAATTCCCCCACGTAAGTGAAGGAGGTACACTACAGGCTCCAGCTCTAACTGAAAAACTATAGTCAGTTGGTTGATACTGCTAGGGGGGATGGAAACTTTTTAAAGGATAGAGCACAGGTAGTTTCCCATGCTCCAGTGGGTGGCTCCACACTCATGCACAAATGAGCAGTACAGATCGGACTTGCTGGGGGAAAAGAAAGAGGAGGAGCACAAGATGAAGGAAGAAGAAGAGGAGGAGGAGGAGGAGGAGGAGGAGGAGGAGGAGGAGGAGCTGAGATTGAGAGGAAGACATGCAGAAAGTGGATATTGTAGCATCTCCAGAGATACATGGTCATATTTCATTGTATGTACACATGAAATGCTAAACAATGAATTAATAATTAATGTGAAAAACAATTATCAAGTTTACAATCCTGAAAACAGACCTTTCTTTTTTTTTCCCCCCCTCAAATGAGTTTATCCAGGATCAATGAACTACCAGTAACCACACAAACTGCTCCTGGAAAAATAATGAATGGGACACCTAGTCAAGTGTACTTTCTTAAGCCATTTCGGGAACCATCTTGAGAAAGGATCCACAGTCAAGCCCTTTTCCAAGGACAACAGAAGATGCTTCAGTTCTACAACTCCAGACTACACAGACTCCCTGCTTCCCTGTCTAAACAAGTGACACTAATTAATTTAAAAATATATGAATAATTAGAAACACATTCTATGTGCATAGACTGGAAGAATCTGCATTGCTAAAATGATTTCTGTTTTGCAATAACAAGAAAATTCATCCTAAAGTTCATCGGCTATCAAGGGACTTTGAATGGCCAAAACAAGCTCCATTCGATATGACTTGCTAGATTAATTTCTCTATTTCTGCACAAGGCTTCACTGAAAAAGGACAAAATAAAATAACTTGCACTTCTGAGTTTAAACTTACAAAGTAACAGTAACCAAGACTGCATGGTTGTGAGTGACATAAACACAAACAAACCGTTGAAAACTGAGAGCACAAATAATCATATGTCTGGTCAAATGAGTTTTGACTATGAAATGTGGATGAGCAATGCTTTTCAGATGAATAAATTTATAAAAATGAAGGGAAGGCAGAAGCAGGATGATTGTATAAAATTCAAGGCCAGAATATGTTATTTAATGAGCCTCAGATCAACCAGAGCTACAAGGTGAGATCCTGAACTAAGAGAGAGAGAGAGAAAGGGAGAGGGAGGGAGGGAGGGAGGGAGGGAGGGAAAGGAGATGTCACCTTCAACCAACACCATAAACAGAATGGAACACAAAACATAAGACAGGCCTAAATGTAAAAGCTAGAGCTATACAGCCTTCAAAAGAAAACACAGCACAGCAGTTTGTTGATCTAAGCAGCAACAGTGCTCTCCGTAAAACATAAATGCTCAAATTACAAAATGAAAAAGCATACGAATCAAGTGTGCTGAGTAGTTCTGCATCAACGAGACACAAGCCAGAGACACTGGGAAAAAGGGAACTTCATTTGAGCAAGCGCCCTCATCATCCTGGCCTGTGGATAAGCTCACGGTACTTTTGTTTTATTGATCATTGATGTGGGAGGCCCTAGATCACTCTGAGCAGTGCCCAGAGACTCTGTCATCTAAAGCCTTTGGGAGATGCTTGTTCTCTGTACCTCCTCTTACTTCTCCTGCCATTACAGCTTATCTGAAATACAGATGGTGACTCAAAACATCCACTGCAATATTCTAAGTTCCATTTCTAGTCAGAAACTCATAATATTCTTTGATGACCTGGCCAGGAATCATGACTCCCCACTTCATAATCTCTGATTTTAACCTCATTTAAAACAATCCTTTAACCCCCATAGAAATGTTTCGGAGATTCACAGGGAACCTTTCTTCCTTGCTATACCTAAATGATGTTGAAACATCATTATGAAGAATAAACTCCAGGTCGAATAATCACTGGCTGTAGATAAGTCATGCTCTCAACCTCACAGTGAACTACCCTCTTCCTCAGTGTACTAAGACCCTCCATATGATGGGAGTTTCTAACTGATCAGTGACAGCTTAGAAGCCTCAATTCATATTGTCATGAATAGGACCTCTTATTTGAGCATCTTTCTTTGTTTTCTTTGTTCAGTCTATTATACTATTCTTTCTAGTAGAAATTTCTTAGAAATTTGATACCATGATACTTCCTTATTACACAAACGTAGAAACTCTTTTCAATGTAGACTAAACAAAGAAAGTAGAAGAAGGAAAACAAAATGCCCAGATTTGGGTTTATGTAACAACCTACAAACTCTAAAACTCTACTCAAGATTATCTTTCTAAAATGAATGAAGCATGAAATGAATTAAAACAAAGCAAGCTCTAAGATTTCTAAAGTTACATAAACTCCGGTCAAACTGACACATGGAATGTGTTTACCTTATTTATTAAAGGCTATACCCCAAAGCCACTAATCTAACATTTAGAGAAATAAGTTATGGCTGAATAAAAATTTACTCAGAAAAATAGAATCATGACATTTGAAGAAAAATGATTGAAAGTCGACATTATTATGTTAAATGAAGTGTATCGGACTCTGAAAGACAAACACTATATTTTCTTTTATATGTGGATCCTAGATTTTAATTTTAATATTCATTAGAGGAGGGTGGGTATTGGTTGTGAAAGTAGAATGGGACCATAAGAGTCAGACAAAGAAGTTATAAAAGATGATTATGGATACATTTTTTAAAAAACAGACTACATGTGGCGTGAAAACAGAAGGGGAGTTATAAGAAGGAAGGAGGAATGGAGAGGAGGGACCAGCAAGAAGGGAGCAAAGGATAGAGAAGGGACTGAGAAAGGAAGATCAACAAAAACCACATACTTATCAAACACCATAGTGAAATCCATTACTTAGTGTTGCCAACAGCCTTGTCTGAGAAAGAAACATACACTGCTTCATCAAGGAGAATTCTGCCCCTTGGCAGACGGAGAACAGAAGGACAACGTATGTATATTGGGCTTTCCACATCAGGAAGATGGTATGTGCTACTTCTTAAGACCTAAAAACTGTTTGAGTCCCATGTATTTTTCTATCCATACTTCTTCACTATCCCTGGCAGTGTACTAGCTAAACCTTCTATTCTTTGTGAGCCATGTTTAATGATTGCATAGTATCTTTGCATGTAGTTGCTCCTTAACAAAAGCTCACTACAAGACACACTTGGGTCATTAGAGCCCTGTCACATGCTCTCTTGTGTTCCTGTCTCCTCTGCAGAAAACTGACGTTGCAGCTTCCTCTTGTTTCATGAAACGAGCTCTGCTATGCGTGGAAATTTTGTATTCTGATTTTTAAGAAAATTTTAAAAAGAAGATGCATTAAAAGGACTCTAATATTTTACTTGGCTGTGTTAGATCTTTATTTGTAAAAGAAATTTTCATCCATACAAGTAGTTTCTATTCATAAAAGCATCTCCCATTTAGGAGATGAACGTTACAAACCGAGAAAGACAGAAACTCAGATACTGACGACATGCCTCACGTTTGAGAGGTTTTATCTTTACTGAACCTTTACTGATGCTTTTCTTTGTCTCTGTAAATAAATTCTGTTCCTTTAAAATATAAATTGTCTTTCTTATCTTGCCAGAGTCATGGGGGAGGGGGACATTCAAATGACTAATTAAAAGATTAGTCGTCTATAGAGAAAAGTCAAAATCTGGCAAATAAGATGTCTAAATAGTAGTTGCCTCTATGTTTTTGTCTCTATCTTCATTTGTATATCTTTGTACAAGTGCACATGAGTTATATTTTTATGTGCAGACAAGCATGTGTGCATCACGTATGTGTGTTTATGTTCTGTCTACATAGTACCAGGTTGACTCAAGATTAAAGTGATATGGGACACAAAGACATCAAATACAAGTA